TATAGTGTTAGGGGGTGCTTGTCACTGCTGTCTGGTGACTGCCCTCGATACTGGTAGGGCGATGGTCCTGACACTGAGGTAGGATCGTAGGGATAGGGGGTGTGCTGGGAGCATTAACGTGGGGAAGGGTAGGGAAGGTGGCCTATCCTGTCAGGACAACCACCGGCTGCCGCTGCCAGCAATCACTGTGGGTCTAGTCCTTGGCCTCAACAACACCATGGGCTAAAAAAAAAAAAAAGATGCGCTACAGCCAACCGGGGGGGAACCGGCCTGGTCGACCGGCCGGTAGGACCGGTCTGGTTCCGGTTGGGGGAGGACCCCCCGGTCCTACCAGGTTTTTAGCACTGAAAAAAAGAGGAAAAAGCTAGGCTGTTTTCCTGGGCGCCCGGGCACCCCAACTTATNGGTCCTACCAGGTTTTTAGCACTGAAAAAAAGAGGAAAAAGCTAGGCTGTTTTCCTGGGCGCCCGGGCACCCCAACTTATGACCGGGTGCCCCGCTGGGCATGAACCCCGGGCAGGGTTCCGGGCAGCCCCAGTGCAAAAAAATAAAATAAAAAATAATAATAAAAATTCCCGGAAAATTTTATGTTGTGTAGAATTGCAATACAAACTACTTTTGGCTGAGGGTCACATTAGAATTCCTCGCGGAATCGGAGATAAAAAAGAAAATAATTTTAATCACTCTGAGGCACCCCCCTTTAAACCCCTCTAGCCCCTTTAAAACCAATTTGTACACCCCTCCGCCCTCCCTTGAAAGCCAATGCGCAAAAAAAGAAATGAGGTCGGATTTGCGGTCCTCTAGGAGAGCGCAGAAGACAACAACAGCAACAAAAAAAAACACAAAAAAAACACACAAAAAAAACACACAAAAATTGAAAAAAAAACACAAAAAACAAAACAGTTGAAAACACCAAAAAAAGCGTTTTTTAGACTTTTTTTTTTTTGCACGCCCGGGTGCCCGGCAGGGCAGGACCGGCCAGGCATGAAAATCTTCCTAGGAAAAAAGATAAAAAAGGAAGGAAAAAAGTAAAAAAGGAAACAAGTAATAGGGAACAAAAAGAAAAGAAAAAGAACAAAACAGGAAGTGGGAGAAACAAAGAAGAAAGAAGGAAAAAAGGAGATCCTTTTTTTTACTGAGCATTTTGAACGTGTCTATTGTTACTGATCTTTTTGTCAACTTGTCTTTTGTTACTGAGCATTTTGAAAGTACGGACATACTTGCATGAGGGCATAAGGACATACTCGCATGAGGGCATTTTCTGACTTAGCTCTGGACGTGATCACGGTCAGATGCATCTAGGTTTGTCTGTAAGTGCAGTCAGATACATTGAGGAAAGTGGTAGTGCGAGTATGTGCTAAGAAAATATGAAAGACGGGGCGCAGAACAGAAAGGGATGGTCCTTGGCTGCCTGGCAGTGGTTTGCCAACGTACTCACAGAATGTTTTCACACAATGTTTTCACACAATGTTTTCACTTAATGTTTTCACACAAATGTGTTTCACATAATGTGTTTCACATAATGTGTTCACATAATGTTTTCACATAATGTTTTCACATAATGTTTTCACTTTTGGCTGATAACGTCTACTCTTTCTGTGGATCTCGATGCTGCAGGTTGTTCTGCGGGTTCTTTGCGGTTTCATTTCCCTCAGGGGTTGGGGGTCGCCATCTCCTGTAAGATGTACTGGCCGATTGACTACAGGAGAGGTCATGGAAACACCTACGGGTACGAGTAGAACTGTTGCAGACGACCTAGTATGTGTATGCCCTTTGTGAATCTGACTTCTGGGGAACTATGGAGAGCCAATTAGGAGATTCAGGTGGTGCAGGGAAATCCAGCCTGTCATTGCCTGGACCTGAATCTGTGCCCGAGCCCATACCTGGTCCGTGGAATGAATACCAGGTGAAGGCGATGATGGGAGTAGTGAGTGTTGTGATGGCGTCCGTTCTCTCGTTCTGGAACAGTCTGGTCGAGGCAGTTGGTATGGCTTCTGAGAATTGTTCAGATGTCATCGCGGCGCGGCTACGCGAGTCCGCGGACCGTTGTCTCCTGACCATCAATCTGGCGCAAATGATGGCCTGCGCCTGTGCTACATGGATGGAGGGCCAAAACATGGGGCACCCCCATTGTTGCGGTCCACGACCTCCGTCACAGAGCGCTTACATGATGATGGCCCAGGATCCTGTGGCCGACTCGCTTTTCCTTAGACACTTCAACATGACTCGCCGGACATTCCTCTCTGTGCTGCAACCTATTTATCCTGCCATATCCGATGCAGTGGCAAGGCTCGGCTTGCCGATCGTGATCGATCCGGCAAAGGTCTTCGCCATTGCGATTCACCGCTGGGCGCATGGCGACGACTTTGTCAGCCTCTCCGACAAGTTCGGCGTTCAGCAGGAGTGGCTGCAGAAAGCTGTTCAGATTGTAACCGATGCTATCATAGATGTCCATGTCGAAAAAGAGCTAGTCTTTCCGGACAATGAGCAAGGCTGGAATGCGATCGAGGCTCCGTTTCGCGAGAAAGGGTTCCCCAACTGCGTCGGCGTGATCGACTGCACTCGTATAGGCATCGAAAAGCCTCCTGTCGACCCCGAGGCATACTGCCGATGCCACCAACAGCCGAACGCCGATAAGAAACAGGAGAATCAGTATAGCATAATGCTGCAGGCTGTTGTGGATTTGAACCTCCGTTTTCTGAATGTGTATGTGGGTTGGCCAGGGAGGACACATTACTCCCGTGTGCTGCAAAACAGTCGCCTGTACATGCGCGCACAGCAGGACGGAACACTCTTTCAACCCTATGTGCAACGCGTGGAAAGCGTGGACGTTGGGCAGTACCTGCTTGGCAAGTTCGGTTACCCTTTGCTTCCGTGGCTATTGGTACCTTTCCCGCGCTGCGACGCGCTAGTCGGCGATCCCAATCGGTTTAATGAGAGGCATTCGTCGGCACGCAAATGCGTGGATCAGGCTTTCCACAGACTCAAGGACAAGTGGCATGTTCTCCATGCTAAATTCAACGAGGATCTGAAAACCATCAATCGACAGATCATTGCGATTTGCATTCTTCACAATCTGCTTCTCCCATTCGACGAGCCATCGACTTTTAATGCACTGAACAGTACAGCCGCTACAGCCAGATCACAGGGTGCCAGTTTGCGGTGCAGGAGCAAGGCGCGAAAGCTAGACGCCAGCCATGAGCCAAGCCAGCCTGCCCCACGTAACAACACTGTTGATGGTACTGCTCTACGGACCATATTGACTCGCCACTTGAGTCAGCTTACTGCAGATGCCAATGCCAAGGGCAGAACATGAAGGCACTTGGCAACCCCCCACCATTGTTCGAGATTGTGCAGACGTTCAGCTGTGCACCGCATTCTCTCTCAGTGCAGCACATTGTTGCTCGTTGGCATGCAGTGGAGAAATGCAGCAAGTGATAATGAATTCCACCTTTGTCCTCCATCCAATCTGGGATTTGTGTTTTGCTGTGTACATGTGTGTGTGTGTGTGTGTGTGTGTGTGTGTGTGTGTGTGTGTGTGTGTGTGTGTG